ATTTAAATGAAATTAAAGGATTTAGATTTGGATTTTTCAGAAAAAGAAGAGAATGTGGGAAAGAAAGTTAGGGAAGGATCCTCTTTTATGAATGTTTAAAGTCACTCTTTCTGCAAGAGGAATGCTAGCTATTTTTCCCTTATATATCTCCTTATTACACAACACCATGTCCTGCCAAACATCATCTAAATTAAAACGATTTTTATTTGAGTGATTTTTTGTAGAACTGATCAATAAAAAAATGAACACTTATCGTCATAAGATGAGATGACATTGCAGGATAAGAAGGAAAATAGAGAATGTATATAGGGAAATATATGAAATTAATAGTTTATCATCTAATTTCCCTTTGTCAACCATCATATGAAAATTTGAAGAATACCCATAGGAATAACAAATAGATTTTAAGAATTAAAGATATCTCTTTCACGATTTATTTTACTTTTTCTCTGATCTTTCCAATTTCTAAACCCCGCATCCACACTTGGGCTATTAGACCGTACATAGTTCATGTTTGTCATTGGAGACGATGTACATGATAACTAGATCCATATGTGTGAAGGGGATGGAGCTCAATCGATCACTTTAAACAGTTTTCATACACATAACATAAACCTGTATAATACAAATGAGCAGTCAGTTTGTCGTTAAGTGAAATTCGAATCGTATGTGTATACATGTTTATGTTACTTTTACATATCACAAATTATCACGCACGTACTCTAGCAAAATATTATGAAAGTTCAAATCAAGCAACACCAATTTGAACTAACATGAAATGCTGAAGTTTTGGAGGGTCACGGCCACTATAGGTCGAAGTGTGGGTCTGCCGGATGTCCATTGTTGCATTCTAGGAGTTGCATCTCATGAATAAAACCAAGATACATGTCATGTTACACTCTTGAGAGGTAACGGTCTTGCATACGCTTCACGGTTTGTATTGGTGACTCACAAATAAGCATATGAGACTCATGTTTCACGTGTTTATCTTAATGTTTTGGCGCGAAACACAATTAACTAAGTTAAACTTCCCAATTGAAGTAATTTTTTTTCCTTTTTGTTAATCATCAACTCGGGAAGCGCACTTATGAGCCTCATATAGTTTAATTTCATTATTCTTCTTCTGTGCTTTTACTTAACTAGATCTCTTTAACGTATTAATTAATCAAATGAGTAGAAGTCAAAAATGAAAATTAATAGTCGATCGATTTTAAAGTTAATTTTTGGTCATAAAATTATGACATGCAAACATTATACACTTTACGTTCACCCTTTTTTTTTCTTTTTTTCTTTTTTAAATTTTGCTTCCGTTTATATTAATCTTTTTTGTAATGTTACCATGTAGCATGTATCGTTTTATAAATTTATTTGAGAGATCCTTCAATGAAAGCTCTCTGTATATATACCAACATATCATTTACTTTGATGTCAATCAGATTCTCATTTATTTCTATCAACCAACATTGTCACGTCCACAACCACATGTAATCACCCTCTCAAAAACTTTTCCTCTCAACCGCCGCAAGTAAAGTAAAATTCAAAAAACTTTTGGATCAGTTTCTAATACCATTGTCCCTTTTCCTAATCTTGAAATAATTAACTTATTTGCTCTTCCCCCATCCATCGTCTCCAAAAATCAAAGAGAGACAACTCTTCGCCAACCCCCCCTCCAAACAACCTCCTCCTCTATAAAACCCTGCTACTTCTTTCACTTCAATCCCATCCCACCACACAGACTCAAACATGGACCGCTTCTCAGTGTTGCCCGAGTCCCACCTCTCCGCCATTGTCTCCTTCTTGCCTTTCAAAGAAGCGGCAAGAACCTGCGTTCTGTCGAAGCGTTGGCGTCACGTTTGGCGTTCGTCGAAAAACATCGAGTTCGACGAACGTTGCTTTGCCAACGTCGATGCCGATAGAGAGGTCCAAAGACAAGTGTTCATTGATTTTGTGCGGCAGTGGGTTCAAAACTACCAAGTACCCACCGTGGACAGACTTTCTCTCAAGTTTTCGCAGCCTCAAAATAACCCAAGGGTTGTAGAAAACTGCATCGCATTTGCCCTCGCCCGCCATGTCAAACACCTAGCGCTTGATTTCTCTGATCCTACATGGGCTGTACACGATCTGGACGATATTGCTCATCCGACGCCGTTTGATCTGCCTCTGTCTGTTTATAACCATCCTCTCGAATCTTTGACTCTGTCTTCTTGCAACTTCAATGTGTCCGAGTTCAAGAATTTTGGGTTGCTTAAAGAAATTTCGTTGTGTTGGGTTGAAATGAAGGAAAGCACTACCAAGGCTTTGTTGGCCAACTGTGGGTATCTTGAGAGTTTGAGCCTGAGACACTGTTGGGACATGGACGACTTCTTCTGTGTTCGAGTCGGGGAATTAAAGCTGAAAACTTTGGTGGTTTATAAGTGCAGGTTTACTTGTTCTTACTTTGAATTTGAGGCACCAAATCTGCGTTGTTTGAGGTACTCTGGGACCTTGCCAAAATTTTGTTTACTCAGAAATGGAGGCTTGGATGAGGTGGATCTTGACTTTGGGCATGAGACTCATGGGAATGAGGCAGTGTCTGATCTTCTTGGTCAACTCATCGATGAAGTCAACCCCATGACGGCATTGACTGTTTGCACCTTCATGCTTCAGGTACTTAAGTTTTTAGCACTTTCAAAAAAACAAAAAGTGAAATCACTTATTATCATTTTTGGTCACTGAAGATATTGTACCTATATTCAGCATCATAGCCGCTTTGTACTTTGTTATGGTTCATTAATAATTACTATCGTTTTTTTCTATAAAATAAAATAAAATAAAATTACTTGCTCACATTTTTGTAATCTTAAGTTTGGTTGGTTTTATCATATTTCATTAATCAATAATACTATTTTGTATCACATTGATTGACTACTTTGCTTATCACTTCTCTAAAAAAGGTAGACTCCACTAATAAATGTGGAATCCGAAACCTGTATTAGATGTATGGTCATCAATGTAAACAGTAAATATGGTACAAATAACGCATCTTTATTAATAAAGCTTGAGATGGTGTTAACTAATGATCAATTGTGTCTGTCTGCAGGTTCTTCCAATGGGAGAGGAAGGCATTGGTTCTCCTTTGGGCATTACACAGTTGACACTAAAAACGACGATGCATGACCATGAACAACACGGCATCCAGTATCTCTTGAAAAACTGTCCCCAACTGGAGACTCTGAAATTCGAAATAGACAGCCATGCCCGTACCAGAATTATCAATTATGTGAGCCCTTTAAATTATTTATTTATTAGTAATTAATTAGACTTTAATTAACATATATACATTCTGGTTTTGTCATGGCTCCAGACGGAATATGAAGCTCCATGTGCTGAAGTGAAACCTGAACATATGTGGGACCAGACCAAGATTATTTTCCCGTGTGTAACGCAGACTCTGAGAGAGGTTGAGCTGAAGGGCTTTAGGGCGTCGCCAAACGAGATCGGTTTGATGTGCTATCTGCTCCACCATGGCCGCGTCATGGAAAAGCTTACTATTATTGTTTCAAGCCAAGCGAGCGGTCGTGGAAACCCACAACTCTACCGAATCGTAGCTGAAAAGACGCGGGATTTACCAAGAACGGTACCAGATCTGCAGATTATAATTATTTAAATACATACAACAAGACCACATGAGCAGATGTTGTTATATGAAGTTCGTTTCTACACAGGGGGTTTTTCATGTTTGGGATTCTGTTGGAACTGAATGGCTCTTTAATATCCTTGCAGCCGACGTAAACCTTTCTATTCGTTTCTAATAAAATATTTCAGCGACTTTGACCGGAAAAAAAATAAAAGTATTGTTAATTGGTGTGAACTTTTTCTTTTGTTGTATCTTCATAACTAAATAAATAAAAATTTCAGATTTGTTTTTGTTTTTGCTATCAACAAGAAAAAACACTTACAATAATAAATGCGAATATCTTACATACGTTTGACGGTTTACGTTGGTCACATTCACAAATCAACATGCAAAACTCACTTTTGTATATGAGTTTCTTGTATGGATCTCAATTTCTTTTATAGGGAAAATTTTAGTTAAATTAGTTAATTAACTTTCCCAAATCAAATAACCAAATTGCGCACTTTTGTCATTTCGAAATGAACAACCTCTCGGTGTCATCTATTAATTTGGTCAATGAGACCCCTTTTTAACGTTCTTTCCTTCCAATATGAAAATAATCTAGAAGAACTTATTTCACACAACATCACGTCCCCTCACATATATCGGCTCAATTTTTGCTCATTTGAACTAGGTTTAAGTACTTGTTAGTAAAGTCAAGATTCCCTTTGCCAAATCAAGTATAAGCTTGAGCTAGTTTCACAAACTAGCAGAGCCAAATCAAGCTCGAGTTTGGAAAAAAATCATTTGAACGAGCTTGAGCTTCATTATTATCTGAACGAGTTTCAGGTGGAATTTTCTCACACACACACATTCAGTACATGTTCTTAACTTTATCCCTTATCTTATTAGATTTGAAGTCGCTAATTAATTTTAAATTTCATACAAATTGTGATGGAGGAATATTATGTGCCTTACAAGTATTAAGATAACATGTAAGAAACTATCTCATTAAGACAAATACCGTGAATCAAAAGCTAATATTATCGTTGACGAACGTTGACGTGACAATGACAATGACAACGAGAGAAAAAAACATTGTCACATCAACAGACACCTGTCATTAACATTTGAAAAGATAACCGCCACAGTGCAAAGTATCGATCAATTTATTGTGTGCGTGCCTTTATCAAAAAGAAAATTGTTGCGTGCCCTTATCAAAAAGAAAAACGTTTGCGTGCCCTGTAACCGCCTCTTCCCCACGTTTAGGAAAATGAAGGAAAACGAAACACGAACTTTTTCGCCAACCCACCACCACCCCCAAAACGGTGCCTCCTCCACAATTCTTTCTTCTACAACCGGTCCCTGCAACTTCTCTCAATTCAGTCCCATCCCACACACAAACATGGACCGCTTCTCAGATTTACCCGAGCCCCTCCTCGTCACCATAATCTCCTTCTTGCCCTTCAAAGAAGCAGCAAGAACCACTCTTCTCTCCAGGCGTTGGCGCCACCTTTGGCGTTCCACCCAAACCATCGACTTCGACGCGCGTTTCTTCATCAACGTCGACGCAAGCAGAGAGGTGCAGAGACAAGTCTTCCTTGATTTTGTGCGGCACTGGATTGCAAACTACCAACAATCCACTATAAGCAAATTCTCTCTCGCGCTTTCTCAGCCGAGAAATTCCCAAATGGTCGTGGAAAATTGCATCACCTTTTCTCTTGCGCGCAACGTCAAACACCTGGTGCTTGATTTTTCTGACCCCACATGGAATGAAGATGACTTTGAAGGTCTTGCCGATCTGACGTCGTATGAGTTGCCTCTCTCTGTTTATGGTCATGAACAAGTTCTTGAATCTCTGACTCTGTTTTCTTGCAAGTTTAATACTTCTGGGTTCAAGAATTTTGGGTTGCTTAAAGAAGTTTCGTTGGGTTGGGTTGAAGTGGGAGCATGCACTCTCGAGGCTTTCCTTGTGAACTGTGGGTATCTTGAGAGTTTGAGCCTGAAACACTGTTGGAGCATGGAGAACTTCCTTCGTTTTTGTGGAAGGGGCTTAAAGCTGAAAACTTTGGTGGTTTATAAGTGCAGGTTTTATTATCCTTGCTTTGCAGTTGAGGTACCAAATCTGAGTTGCTTGAGGTACACTGGGACCCTGCCAAGGTTTAATATATCCAGAAATAATAGAGGCTTGGATGAGGTGGAGCTTGACTTTGGGCTTGAGTCTGTGTGCAGTTGTTCCATGGCTGATCTTCTCTATAAGCTCTTCTTTGAAGTCTTCCCCATGAGGGCATTGACTGTTTGCACCTACATACTTCAGGTACTCAATTTCCCTCTGCAACTTTGGATCTCACTTTAACGTTTGGCTATTTGGGACCTTTTATCATACACTTGTGCTGCGCTTTTTGTGTGTAGTGGAGAAAAGAAAAGGAAAGTGTCTTGAGTTTAATATATCAGGTGTTTATATTTCCGTAGGCGTATATGCATGTTGTTGATTAGTGTAATCAATCTGCTTTAGTGTTAATTATGTTGTTATCTCGTAAACTAGGCATCGCTAGAAGATCTTTTAGTTACTTCTTTATCACGTTTCATCTTTACACATGACTAAATTAATCGTTATAACTTTATATATTACATCAATTGCGACTAAACCGAATAAAACCGAACTGTACCCACCACTAATCTGCTGTGACTCTGAGTATTGAATATTTTAGAAATAGAGCAAAACTTATCCCAATTTATATTTTGTACATCAACATTTAACTCTCACATCAAGTAAGGCAAAAAAAAAAAAAAAATCTCCATGAAAATCTGTTATAAATTGCATGCATTTGCAAGCTTGACGTAGTGCTAATTAATTATTTGTGTGCAGGTTGTGAGCATGGGAGAGGATTTCATTGGTATGGAGCCGTCTTTTCCCCTTACACACTTGACATTAAAAACAGCAATGCATGACTATGAACAAGTCGGCATCCGATATTTCTTTGATAGCTGTCCTCATTTGGAAACTCTTGAGATCCAATTAGGCCCCGGCAGAATTTTTCATGATGTGGGTAATGTTTATATTTTAATTATGAAGTACGTAGTCTTTTAATGAACTGCAAGTTACATATATACATTGATCTCTTCTTCAGGATTATGAAGCTCCATATGGTGAACTGGATCCTCATGAACTGTGGATCCGCCATCCAGTAGTTTTCGTGTGCGTGACTCAAACTTTGAGGGAGGTTGAGATCAAGGGTTTCAAGGGGACACCAAATGAGATTTACGTGCTGCACTATCTGGTCACCCATGGCCGTGTCATGGAAAAGCTTACTGTGATTACTTCCAGGGAAATGAGCAATCGTGGAAACCCAACAGTTTATCGGAATATTGCCAACCAAGCGCTTATGATCAAAAGTGCCTCGCAAAATCTGCTCATAACGGTTCTTTAAATGACAAATGACTTGATCAACCTGTTGTTGTATGCCTCTAGTGATAGGAATAGTTTCATGTGTTTTGGAGGAGACTTCTTGTATAGGGACTGCTCATACGGCAACAGCCCTTCATTATTGGAGTCAGTCCCTACCCAAGAATCACTTGTTTTTTGAAGGTCGAAGGTGTCTAGATCAAATTAAGATTCGGACAACAACTAATACATGCGCAGATGTAGTAATGAATGACTAATGTGAACTATTTCTTTTGTTGTAATTTCATTGGTGAAATATTGGTGCTTTCTATCAAATGATGGAGTGGATGTTTGTTGATTCAAACGTTTAAGGAGAATAGTTTTGCATTTGCAGCATGTTATATATATCGGATATACTCTATGGGCGCCCAAAAATGATTATGGACTAGTAAAGAGCTTGTACGTTGTTTAAATGTATCTGATATCATATGTTCGATTTTTTCATCGCTTGTATGAAAAATAATAATATGATTTAAACTATAAGAAAAGAAATTAACAATTTAAAAATGAATATTTTTTTAACAGAATTGTATATGTTATATAAAAATGAGTAGTTCCGACGAAATTGAATTTTCCATTGATGGGTACTTGGGATCTCCTCAATACCAAAAGCAGTTTCTTGGGGTCAAAAAAAACGACTGGAAAAGAAAGTTGCTTTTGTAATGATTCAATTATTCCTCATCAAACTCCTACTGCACAAAGTCTAGCTACAAGTTGCCCCATATCCCATCGCATTAATTTTGATTCAGTTTCTTCTCATTTCCTGATTTCATGTCACCTCCAAAGTATGGCACTTTCAAAGTGGTGCACGCATTACAGGCATCATTAGGTCTGCGCCTACTGCCTGGGAAAAGCAGAAGTTTATTCTTTATTTGTTTAAGGCTTAATTGTTATAATTACACCTTAAAACTATGATCAAATTACATATTGACCCCTGAAACTTTAAGAGATCCACCATGCTCTATTGACCGAAGTTTTCTATCTCATATTGTGCTCCACCATCCAAAAAGGTTAAAAATTAACAATAGGACCCACTTTTTATTAACGTGAATCCATTTGAATAGATTACATGTATGCGTTTTGTTCTCAGACAAATATTTTTCTCAGTCATCTATATATATAGGCCCCGTTTGATTGATGAGAAAAGAGACTTGAAAATGGGAATTCAATTACTTTCCCATATTTAGTAAGTCCAAGCATGAGAAATGGTTGCTTGGCACATGAAAAAGTAAGAGGAAAAGTGAAGCCCTCCTCTTAATTTGAGTTTTGTTTTCCCTCATCATGAGAAAATTTGGGAAAATGAGCCAACATTCAATGCACAATTTTTATGACTATTTTGTCTCTATGAACAATTTAGAATTACAACGTATCATTAAATGCATTCTGTTTTTATTTGATTTAATATGGATATAATTGAAAATTTATACAAACTTTGTTTTCTATTCTTACTCAAAACAAACATGGGAAAGAAAATAAAGTAAAATCTCTCTGTTACTTTCCCGACATTACCAAACGTGAGAAATGAATCTTTTATTCTCATTCTTTGGGAAATGACATGAAAAGTGATTTCCCCTCAAATCCATTCCGTGAACCAAACGGGTCCATAACGTAAAAGGTAGAGAATAATAAAACATTCAAAATATTAGAAAATGTCATTGGTTAATACAAACATTAAGAATTGAATTTGTTAATTAAATAATGATAATATGGTAAATTTACTTTTTCATATTAAAAAATTTAAAATTTAAAACAAAATTAGATAATGAGCCTCATTTTTATAGAACACAACTACCCATTATCTAATTCTAAAATAAATAAAAAATCAATTGGCACCTAGGGGCTAGTACATGAAAGAATGGAATTTTCGAACTCTCAAATAAATCAATGTAATTATTCGTGGGTAAAATTAGTCAGATATGCTCTTCATTTGGGGCTTCTCATTTGGTGTCCATGAAAGAAAGCAGACAATAGTGTTGAGCGCAATATAGTACCTCTGTGTGTCATGGGTATATATGTTGTTGTATTTGGAAGAAAATGTACTTTCAAAGTTTTGTGACGTGCCACCACAATAACGAACAGGTAAGTTTTTTTTTGCTTGGGTACGTCTAGTGGACAGGACTTGTCAGGTCCAAAAGCTCCAAGTGCGGCCCAGAGTTGTTATAATTTATAAATCATTTCCAACTGAAACAAGTAACTACCCTAATTTAGGTGGAAATCAAGTATGAGTACGAAGAAATGTTAAGCCTTATTAGATTGCCATGAAAATGCAAATTCGTTTTTTTGTTTTTATTTTGTGAAAATATTCTCAGAAAACATCATCCGAAAACATTATTGAACAAACTCTAATTTTTCTAGGAATAACCTTTTTTTTTTTTTTTTTTTTTCCACAAAAAGTCGCACATAGTGACACAACACGAGCAAACGTTGTGCCTGTTTGTAACCGCTCCTTTTCGTCCTCTATAAAAGAAGATTCTTCAGGCGTCTCTTCTCTTGCAGACGAACTTCCCCGCAACTTCTTTCAATTCAATCTCACCCCACAGACACAGAGTCAAACATGGACCGGCTCTCAACTTTGCCTGAGCCTCTCCTTCTCATCATAATTTCACTTTTGCCCTTCAAAGAAGCCATAAGAACCTGCGTTTTGTCCACCCGTTGGCGTCACCTTTGGCGTTCAACCGCAAACATCGAGTTCAATGAACATTTCTTTGCGAACGTCGATGCAAGGAGAGAAATTCAGAGACAAGTTTTCATCGACTTTGCGCAGCAATGGATTGCAAACTACCAAGAAGACAACATAGATAAGTTTTCTCTCACATTTTCTCACCCTAGAAATTCCCAAATCTTCGTCGAAAATTGTCTCAAGTTTTCTCTTGCTCGCCATGTCAAACACATGGGGCTTGATTTCTCTGAACCCACCTGGGATATATCTGATCCTGGCGACAACCCTCATCCGGTGTCGTTTGATCTGCCTTCCCAGGTCTACAGCCATCATGTTATTGAGTCTTTAACTCTTTCTTCCTGCAATTTTGTTGTGTCTGAGTTCAAGAACTTTAGGTTCCTTAAACATGTTTCGTTGGCTTGGGTTGAACTTAGGGCTTCTACTGTCAAGGCTCTGTTAGTTAACTGCGGGCTGCTTGAGAGTCTAAATCTAAAGCACTGTTGGAACACCAACAGCGTTGACGTCTGTGGACAGGACTTAAAGCTAACCTCTTTGGTTGTCGATAGGTGCATGTGTTTGGGTTATCAGAGGATTTCAATTGAGGCACCAAACCTAAAATATTTGAGGTTTGCTGGCTTTGTGGCCATGTTTGATGTGAACACAACTGGAGGCTTGGAAGAAGTTGACCTTGATTTTGGTCTTGCGTCTATATGTGATGAAGATAGTGGTTATCTTCTCTATGACCTCCTGTGTGAAGTTTACCCTTCGAGGGCTTTGACTGTTTGCAGTTACACGCTCCAGGTACTTAATTTCACTATTCATAACCATTTCATTTTCAGGTTTACATAACGAGTTTTTCGTCGTTGTAATTTCTTCTTATTAATTTTGATGTGTTGATTGTTTCAGACTATTACCATGGGACCGGAGCCAATTGGTATGGAACCGCGTTTGAGCGTCACAAACTTGACCTTAAAGACTGCTATGCATTACAATGAACAAAAGGGGATCAAGTTTTTCTTAACTAGTTGTCCTCTGTTGGAGACTCTCACCATCGACGTACGCCGTGGGACAATTTTTCTCCATGTGGGTATATATAACTCATTAATTTTTTTAGTAATTAGTCTTCTAATTAACATGTATTATAACTTGTGTCATCAACATTATATCTTGAAGGAAGATGAAGCTCCATTTCATGCACTCAACCCTTCTGATGTTTGGATTGAAAACCCGATAGTTTACTTGTGCATAATCCGAACCCTGAGAGAGGTGGAGATCAAGGGCTTCAAGGGGACACAAAATGAGTTCTATTTGCTGGCCTATCTGGTCATCCATGGTCGTGTCATGCAGAAGCTTACTGTGGTTACCTCAAGGGAAATCAGCAACCATGGAAACCCTGCAGTATACCGAAGTGTAGCTGAGAAACTGTATGCATTGAGACGTGCCTCACAGCATCTGCAAATTACCATTTTGTAGAGAGAAATAACAAAATCTGACGGATGTTTTAATTATTTTCGTGTGCGTTTGAAGTTCGAAGCTCATGTAGTCACTGTACTATTACTCTTTTCTTATTGTAGTCCCTCAGTGTGGTTTTTGAATTTTATAGTGTTCGAGCGTTTTTAAGGATAAAATGGTCTTCACATGTCGTATTTACTCTCACAACGACGCCGTCAATCTCATTGTTCACCAGAAAAAATAGAACATTGTTGCCACATCTTGACCAGAAAAAATAGAACATTGTTGTCACATCATTTATATAACCTGAAAGTTCATGTTGCACAAGCACAAGCTAGCCCCAACTTCAGGTTAAGGACTGACTGTTCATTGCCATCAATCATCTCGACTTTTCTGCTGTCTAGGCTCTGATAGTGAACTGTGGGTTACTTCAAAGTCTGAGTTTGAAAAAATGGTACTTAGACTGTCTTTTAGTTTGTGGAAAAGGACATAAAGCTAAGAGCCCTGGTGGTTGATAGAGGCCTGTTTGCTGGTCTTCCACATTCAATGAAGGCAGTAAATTTGAGGTATTATTTCAATGTTGGCAGTTTCCTCACAAACGTAGACAAACATTGAAGACTTGGAAGATGTGAATCTTGACTTTGGGCGTGATCGGATAATTGTCATAAGATAATGGGTGATGCTCTTCTCTCTAAACTTTGAACCCTGGTGGATGATAGAGGCTCTTGCTGGTAATGTGAATGTTTCCCGAAGGTCCAAATAATAGCACAATTCCGATTAATCCCATATATTTTCAAAAAAATAAATAAAATTTGTAAAAGCATGATTGCTCTTCCAGGAAAGTATACGATTGTAGGAGCAATCATGTTAATCCG